TTATGACTTGTTAGCCAGGGGCTACAAAACGCAACCAAACGGTTTCTTGCCAAACGCCTAACCAATGGATTTATGGATTTAAACGTTTGATATGCGAACATCTCCGCTATTCCACATAAGTCTATGGTGAGTCCACCACAACGCTTTTCACTTTATTATGCAATTGATTTTCGCAATAACTTCCATCCCACGGGACTTGTTAAGCGATGCTTTTTTACCCGTAATAAACCATTGTCCATTGTCCATTCTTCATTTAAAAGCACGTATCAGAGGTGGAGAATAGGTCCATGCTGAGCGAAATGTTCTCTAGCTTCGGCAGTGCGTTTGCTTTATACCTATGGACTCATTCAACGGTTTCGGATCAAACTCCACATGCAGCTTGCCAGTCTTCCCTGAAATGATTTCGACCTGACTTAGCTAGTTTGTCGTCACATAAACTTTGGCAATCACGCCCGCCTTGGCCAGATTTGTCAGTCCGGCAGACGACCGGACAAGCAACGCGAACGAAAGCATTTGTAATGGGTAGAACTGTGAAATCCAACGACAAGGATGCAGCACACTGAACACCCCCTAAACAAGATACTTAGAGACGAACAAATCTTCGATTACTTGACAATTGTTCACAAAAGAAATTTGACTTGAAAGTGTGAAGTTAAAAAACTGAATTCAAGCAATACCGATAATCTTCTTGATGTCTCCCTCTCCGAGAAAGAAACGCATATAATGCGATGATAGGCTTTTGATCAAATTACTTAGACAGTAACTGAGCCTCTTAGATGGACAGTGCACCCATTACACGTGTGCGACTAGCCATGCTTGAGTATGATATGTATTCCGGGGCAGGATGTTCTTGGTTGTGTATTACTGATAATGCCTGTATTCAACAAGAACCAAAAGGTCCTGCAGCGAACCAACGAACTTACGATACATGCTTATGTGTACTCTTTTTGTAACAATACTCTGCCTTGGACAATCGTGCTAAATTTGGTAAACTGTTATCAGCTGGTGATGTGACATCTGTTTCTGGGCTGCTTAGTTCCAACCCCACGCAGAACAGTATACAGGAAGTTGCGGGCGTTTCGAAGCACAGTTTGCGTTTCCTTCTGCACAAGCAATCCGAGTAGTTTCAGTGAATCAGAATTGTTGCACAAACCGTAACTTCTCAGGTGACACAATTTCCTTGACTCGATCACAATAATGAGAAAATAAGCACAAAACGGTACACCGCTGCTATCTAGGTAGTGGGTGCTGTAAACGCTTACCCGGGAGTTTGGTCCAGTCGAAACGAGTGTTTTGGATCAACCGAAGGCACATGTCTAAAACTTTGTACACGAAATGGAGGGCAAAACTCTGTTGGTTCATAGGTTTACTGTTCTTCGTTAGATGACGCGTAACAGAATGCGCACGAGTAAAATGTCGTGTCGCCCATACGAACAATTTAGTTTGCATACGGATGACGAATGTAGCAAACCATGTCAGCGCAACAAACATTGGGTCCGTATTGGCGCCGCAAAAGTTATTTTGGTATCGATACGCAAACAACTGGTCTATTTATATGAACTTCAGCGGTGACAATATCCGCACTTCCTGCACAGTTAACTAAAACTGGGCAACTCATGCAATGCAAGTCCACGGACTCGAAGTTGCGGTTTATAAGAGATCATGCTGTGACGACAAAAATCCTAGTTGTTTTAAGACACTGATGCATTTGACGGTTTGCATGTGATTGCAAAGGGTGATCCATTTGCGAATAACAGATTTGCATTTCTATGAGGAGTTACTGCTAATGCCTTGAGTAAGAGCTTCGACCTCATCTGACCTGCGCATACCCGTTATGAAAAATTTTGCCTTGTGTATATGTTCCGGAGGTACAATGTCTTAGAAAGTGTCGTAGAAAGTGTCACACGACACGAATAAAGTCTCTTCCTGCTAACAGAGGTCAGCGATGTACCCAGATGACTTTGGTTAATGTAAATAACTAAGAAACGGTAGAGAAACAGAATGAGAGAACACTGATGCTTTTCAACTGAGCAGCGAGTGTACTCACCAAATGTTAAACACGAAGGGTTTTAAAGCTCATTCTCTTTTAACATTTGAGTAAATATTGGAACACCCAGGACTGTGAAGAAGCTCCAGTGAGGCATCTTACCTGCACAGCCTGAATGAAAGCGATGCGTTTCCAGTCGCATTAAGCGGTCGTTGGGTTTTGTGGCAACATGTTTTACACTTGTGTAATGGTATGCATTAGATTGAGCACCCAACTATTACTGAGCATTGGTGCGCTATCTTTTTAGCCGAAGGGCGACCCGTATGAAAAGAAAAACTTGAGCCTTACTTACAGTCCCCAAATTTAGAGTTGACCATTGGCGCTCATGTTTTAGGTCAAACTCTAAGTGGGGACCACAATCTTTGAAAACCTCCTTTGGAAGGCAATGAAACTGAGCGCACCAAATTTCTGGTCAATGTTCCGTCCTGGATGAACAGCTCGAAAACTACTTGAATGGTGTCTTCTGGGTCGGCCTGAGAGATTAGGGGATCAGTGAAAGTTCATTCATTCTCGGCACTAGGTATCATTTGCATCACAAACTTTGCTAGAGATATCAAGTAAATCAGTCGATGTACTACTCAAGTAGCGTGTCATCAACTTGCCGACAAATCAGAAGCCTGAATTACAACGATGACAATGATGCTGGTCTTACAGGACGTACTTTGGCAAATTTCAGCTATCGTCTGTGCAAACCAGAAGAAGTCGATGTATAAAGAATACTAAAAGTTCCAAATTGATTTAAATACCAGGCTCACTCAAGACGTCAACGTCGCGGGTCCTTTATTGCACCAACTCCCATAGAGGCATGGAAGACAGCGTATACCAAATCACTTTGCCTCGTAAACAACACTGTATAAGAAATGAAAATAGGACAGGTCATGCGACTGCCCTGTGCGTCGGTTGCAAAGAAAACCGAATTATCCTTCGGTTTGGCTGGTGGAAATTAAAAATTCATGTTAAAACTGTGGTATGCATCATAGAGATTACGCTTTCTTTTGGTGAGTAGCTCTTTGTTAAAAAACGCTTTCGTCGAGATGAAACGTAATTGAATTCCAAAGATAAATGCTGCTAGCCCGTGCAACCCAAATAGTCTTTAAAACAGGTTCCATGTGACGCACTCAGCTGAGAGTTTTAGGGTTGGTCCGCCGTCGCCTTTAATATTGTAGCTGCTTTGAACCCCGGCAGAGCTGCACCTCATCTGCTAAGCGAGAGCCATTGTTGAATTAGGCTGATTCGTAGAAGCTGCTTACCGTAGATGTTGAACTGCCATTTCTTATTTGAGCGTTTCCCCTAGATGTGAATGCCTTGGCATACTTGATTTTTAAACTACGTGCAAGACTCTTGCTCTAACAAAGCTATAATCATAAGCCATGGTTTGATTGAACAATGACAAAGCCAAGGAGAGCTTCATTGAGAGTTTACCTAGTTGACGCCAAGGAGAGCAAAATGTTTAGGCTGATGTAGTCAACTCGGTAGATGGAAGCCGCAGAAATTGTCCCCACTAACTATATCAATAGAACATGAACGGATCTTCCATGAGGATTGCAAATATTCGAGGCTAAGTGATCTCATTACAATGTCAACAGGTGTGGAGAAATATGCCAAATGACATCGAGCGAGTTGCACTTATCCTGAGCAGTTCTACATCCAAAATGTTTTACTCGAACAGAGGTAAGAAGGGGCGCGAACGCGTTGCTCACCTCTATTCAGTTTTTGCCTTAGCATTCTGTTGACATAGCACAGTGAGATTTGTGTTACCAATAGCGCCCTTTCGACCTAACCTATCTCATTTGATTTTAGTGGCTTCAACCTCGAGTCCACATTCGAGCACAGAAGTTTTAACTAGCATTTAACGAACTGGTCGAAACTGGCATGATGGTAGAAGGGAATGTATACTGGCTAAGAATGTTTGTTACTTAGGGACTTGCGGTTTTCTTGTGTACGTGCATTTTTACCAAAATGCTAAGGATCAATTTGAACCATGTGCAGTGTAAGGGTGGAACTGTACACAAATGTACTTAGACTCAGTTATTTGTTGTACAGCCCGTAAAATGACATAGAAAAATAAAAAAACAGTGCATGAAAGAAGTAAACAATGGTTGTGTTCACTTTCAAATCTAATTTCTCTGTTTCTGTCTATGTGTGTACATGTATGTCGACATGATATACATAAGCTTTAATCACCGCAACTCCAAAAAGAGTCACATCTTGGCCTTCGCAGGTTAGAAGTATAATCAAGTCGCTTTAATCAATGTTGTCAAAGTAAATTACTGGAAGAAACTATACACCTTCCACATTTTTAAAGTTGAAAGAAACGGTGGCATTGGTCACCTATCACACACCACTGGAAGCCACAATACCTGTGTCAACAATCTACGAGCCGTTGCAGGGTAGGGCTGGATAATCCATTTTGTACGCAAATTGCCTCACGGACCACAGGCCTCCGAATGAGCTAGAACATTTTACGATCATTTACTCAGGTGGCAGAAGGTTCGTTCGGTTCAGCCTTTCGATCATCGTGCAATTTTTATTTCAACTACCGTTTGTGTTCATGTCTCATATAATTGCAATGGGGCCAAGTTGGAACTAACCAGCTCCAGGAACTGAGGGGTGATCAAGCTATCACGGGTTGATCAGACACTTTTGGGGGCCATCCAAGGTGGGACCAGATCGCAAGCATTGTCACTTCAAAATACGGAATTGCCGGGGCTGCTAATAGCTGTCGTCGATATGAAATGTAACTTTAGTCTCTGGTGATAGCGCAAATCTCGGTGATAGTCCATATGCCTTTACATTGAAACATGGCATCTGCTACGTTCCCTCACTTCGCTGAACGTTGCAAGAACATCTAGGTAAATGGGTAGGGCTCGAATCTCAGGCACATCAGAAAGTGACTTCACTTCAAATGGCAAAAGGAATAGGGTGCAAGAACCAGGTTGATTGATTGATCAATTTACTTAACAATGGTATTTTGTATTGCGAAATTTTTGCTTGGGCCATTGCAACGTTCAGATGCAAGCAATTTCTCGATACTGAGTATTGAAGACGGACTCCCGATAGACGACGTGATTTGTCTATGACACGATACATTTTCCACCATGTGGTGGGCGTTGTGTGAGAGATTTAGCGGTAGCGCAGCCGATCGTCCTGCCTCCGGCACAGATGCATCAACTCTCGCACTATGACAATTTACTGGCTGATTTAGGTTTTGCGGTTTTGGCTGCTGTAGTATTCGCTCAAATACCATTTTCAGCGCATCGTATAATACAGGATCGTAAGCCGAACTACCGGCTTTGATGTGGGTGCACAATGATGGTGGCGTAGCATATCTGGTAGATGATAAGACGGGAGAGGAATCAGTCGAAGTTGTCACTGGATTAAAAATTCGCATTGAATGCTGGATCGCACTTGAAGGCATGAATGAAATGGTCCCATTTGTAAAAGTACTGCAGTCTGCTAATCTGTTCCCTTGGAAGCCTTGCTGGCGTGGATCAAATGGATTGCAAGGCTTTGGTGGTATGTGGATACCCGAACAGATACCCAGCTTCGGTGGATTCTGGATGCTTTGTAACCTGTTCAGCTCAGTGGCCGAGGGAATTGAAGGCGGAGGAATAACGGTATGAGTTTCATTCATACTCTGATGGACCCCAGGGGGTTCAGCGCAAGTATCTGAGGTAAATGCAGATATGTTTAACCGGCTTGGGGAAGAGCGGGGAGGTGTTGATATCATATAGGTGGAACTTGTGGTGAACATACAAGACCGATTCAGAGCATTTACCGATGTTTCCTGCTTTATTTGCCTCGCCAGTAATCTGCCGTACGCTTGATTGATGGATGCTAAAAGATTAATTGACTTGAATGGGGACATTGGAAACTTGCAGTCCGTGTTAACACCTACGGATGGTAGCGATGTCACGATGGAGGGAGAGGACTTGTAGCTAGGAATCTGTTGCTTCCCGGTGTTGATTACTCCTGCTGTCGGATCATTGATACACTCCGGACTGGATGTTTGGCGTGTCGTAGTTACTTTGCCAACCGATGTTACTTCACTAAATGCGGAAGTTGGGTATCGGATGCGTTGTGTCGCCATCTGATCTATAATGAGCACAAAGTAGGGTAGTACAAGAGTTGTAGCAGTGGCTATTAATTCATTTACATTTACGATTCCATTACTGGCTCTTAAAATTTGAATGACAAACCCGTACCTATTATGAGCTTTAATGTTGTACTATCTAGATAGTAGCATATTGCTGACGTGCTTACTAACTACCGTATATTAGCGAATATAAGCCCATCCATAGGTAAGCCAACAGTATAACTGCAACATCAAATTTGTCTAAAATTGTAAGCCCCTGTATTAGCCTAGCTCCAACAAATCAGCAAAGAGAAAGGAAATTATTTCTCCACGATTTTGACGTCATCGCTACCTGCTCTTACTTGAGCTAGTTCAAGTGAAACCTGCTCTACTATTGATCAGTTGTAATGGCCGTAATATGTCACAATCGCGGTTAATGGGGCCGTCAGAACGGGGCCGTTAGAACGAACTTTTACCGCACCGGATAGTGTATTGACCAGATGTTGTCACATGCAACAGGCAAGGCATCCGACAAAACATATGAAGCACAGTAGGACAAAGGATGAGAGTGAAGTTCATGGTCAGGTATGTGGGACGACTTTGTAATTTTAAGGCAGGGTGACCTGGTATAACTAATGTTTAGGGGCACTTTTTCGCTACTGCCATCCACCGCGAAGGTCACATGTGCAATAAACAGAGAAATTTTCGACACTAGGTAGCGTATCCAGTTATAGGCACTTCAAATTCCCGTCTGGAATACAGTCCATCGCTCGCCGATGGTGCTGAAGAAGTAAGGACAGTGATGTTCAGTGAATTCCTGGCTGGATTTTGCACCACTTTTTTTCAAATTCCGTATAGTCTTTTACAAGCCGACCCCCTCCCCTATTCAGTAACGGAAATTGTCCAAAATCATCTGCTTATAATCGGTAAATGGGCAGAAGCCGTCTGAATTCAAGATTCACACCTAGCTTGTCTGTAAACGCAAACTGAGTCATGAGCAGTGTTTTCAAAACGGCCTCATTCACCGACTGAAGACTCTTCACTGATAAGGTGCGACTTTCTCCAGATGGAAAAAGCATGTAGGTGCTGAACTGCAGATACGTGCTCCGAGCAGAATGCTCATAGCGTTTCAAAAAAGTAAGGAGGCCATCACAGTACGTTGTGGAACTAGACTCCTCAGATATTTCTGCTCTTAACCATCGACTTCACAAATCCGTTGTTGTTCGAAGCGTTCCGATGCAGATAAGTCTCCACACTTAGACGGACAGATGCTGGTAGGTGTCTCTAACATCTCTAACAACTGAGTTGCGGTATAAAAACTATCACAAGTAGGTAGCGCCTCCTATGTACTCACCAGGTATTTAGCGTTGTACATTGACTTTTTGGGTGATACTGACTTACCCAACGTCATTAAAGGCAACATAGCCCATTAGTTATCCAACTTACCTCGGTACAACTGCATTTGATGGTGCTTGCATTCTGAGTTTCTCCTCGTAACGCTGCCGCCGAATTCGTGTCTTGATGTCACACTGCGTTGCATTGGATCTTTTTCGATTCGGGCGCCAGTGCGCCTCTTTTCCCGTTGCAATTTAACCATTCTCAATAAAGCTAAAATAGAGGAGGACATATTTTAAAACATTTGTGAACGGCTGTCGATCAGCTTTGCTTCTGCTTCTCATGCAGTCGGTCTAGCTCATCTCTACTCTAGAATTACTATGGGACAATTAAACCGATGGTCTGGCCAGCATCTAGTAATACAATTAAGAACGGAAAGTAGTTCTGCCTCTTTCCTGGAATCCTCTGTATACTTGTGCAAACAGAATCTTGTTCCCTTTCGCAACAAAGACGGAGTTCAAGTTAATTCTAAGATTACAAGTGATATTTGTCATCAAGATACGTATAAACTATTTTCAAGCTTCATGTCAGTGCATTGTTAGAAGCTAAGCCGTAACAAGTCTAATTGGATAAATAACGTTTAATCACTCCATAATTCAGTGTCACCCACGACTCGAGTAACTGTACACATTCATGTTTTAGAAATGAAACCTGCCTGAATATGTTTATATGTATATTTATTTGCATATATTAGACGCAATTGTTCGGCTCACTAATTAATTCCGTAATTCACTAAATAGCGCGGACGAACACTTCTGCAACAGGTGGATCGTCGTATAGTAACCGTAACGCACAGACACGATCAAACTGTTCTCTGTGCAAACGGATAAACTAAACAAGGTTCTCTGCTAAATTGGGAAGCTAAAATAAACTTTCAGCGGTTCTAGTGCCTGTAGGCTATATAAACGCTTTGGTGTATACATGGATATGGAGATTTGTGAGCACAATATTGTGCTTACGCGGACAGAATTGTACCACAAACTTCAAGCGGTACATTTAGACCAACGTACCATATAACGTTTTGCTCAGCGCAACGGTTCCTTTCGTGGATGCCTTTTAATCGAGACGTCATATAGTGGGCTAGACTACGGTAACCACGAACTCGCTTCCCAGAGAAAATTTAACGGAACCTTAAGCTTTCATTACAAATTTTGTATTACTAAAATACCTATTGCAATACATCTTTTAATACTAATAGTCCCATCGGTCGTGATGCACGAAGCAACATAGACTTCTGTGGTATGATCAGTGGGTAGTTGATATTCAATACTTTCCTACCAATGATTTTCAAGCCGTTGGTAGTATCGAACGATGCGTTCGCTGCCTATATACTGCTATACAATTGCAGATGTCTGGTGGTTCTTATGACAGTCGCCACGGTATGAGTTGGAGATTGGATAATCGCTACTCTACCTCTTGTCCCATAGATCCACTGTTTTGTTGCTTTGTTTTCCCCCATTCTCCAAATATGACAGTGCTAACACAAGCCTAAACTTAAGTTACATTCCGAATTAAAAGCACAATGCAGTACCCTGCAATCTTCTTAATTCTCTCTAGACAACTCCGTGCTGTAGCTTCATTTGAGCTGTTCCACTGTTTCCTGTAAAACACTGTAAATTTGAACAGTTGGTTAGGTGGGAAGAAACTATCGTTTGTCCTCGGTACTAAACGGCTGTGAACAATCATCTTAACTTACACTCGCCGTCTTTGTGAACAAAAGTTGCCGACCGGATTTATGGCTGCACAGATGAGCAACCGTGATTAGCGGCGTTGGAAAGCAGTAAGAGCTTAGAGAATAGTCCTAGTGGGCGATCGTAGTTCTGGGGGCTATCCCTTTCCTCCGCATCTCCATAACATGTAAGATAGCACAACGTGAGTCCTGTTATCTCGCTGTATGATAGCAGTCATCATGTTCTGTCGTTGTCACTCATGTCTCAGTGGCATAAACTGCTGACTCGTAAGAATAATGTCATCGGTTCGGATCCGGTGGGAGGAAGCCGTCGTCTGGCGGGTTTCTACATGTGTATTGGCTGTCTAACTGAGTTTGGTTAAAGTGAGCCTTCTCAATACACACACAGAAACTCATATGGTTGGCGTCATTCGGTTCCAGATTTGCCTGTCACGGCCTCTATAGGGCAGCCACTGGACGCCTACGCTTACACAGGCACTATAGGTGGCTTGTGCTGCATCACATAAAGCTCCATCCACACAACCCATATCTGTGTAAACCCGAAGGAATAAATGCTGGAGAGACGTGGATTGGAGCCACGTTTCATCAATGGATCCGGCTCACACACCTTCAACATGCACGGCAGCAGCATTCTTGTCCATTTATGGGAGAGCCATGAGTTGCAGACGTAGACAAGGCGATGGCTGGACCGTAGTCCGCTCCACATTAGATGCATGGAACAAATCTTTGAGCGTGGCACGGTCACGGGGACCGCGCGCCCCGTCTCCCAGCAAAAATTCAGTCTCCTGGAGCCAGTAATCGAGCTGGAGTGCGTTAGACAAATAGGCACCTTGTCGACATGCATATCAAGGGCAGTCAACGCCGATATCAAACAACGAACTTGGAATTTAAAGGAAGAGAAACATGCTATATTGACACGGAGTATGCAGCAGAATAACAACAATGAGCAAATCGGCTAATGTGGAATAGATTTTATCTTGGCTAAGAAGATCTAATTTAAGTGTAAATAAGTGTGACGAAACTGCGGGAAGAAGGATGATATTTAAAACATAAACAAAAACATAAACATAAAATATAAACATAAACATAAACCTTCCTAAACAGACACCGGTGGATGAACGAGCACTGCATTTTGAGAGTATGAAAGTATAATTCCGAATATGGTTGCAAAAAAGCTAACAAGCATGTGCGCTACGTTCTGATGGCTAGTATTTAGAAATTATGGCCGATTACATAAATTTAACCCTATTGTACGAATCTTAGGAAATCACCTATTGAGAGATAATCAGGTATATACATCTTTAGAAAGATAACTAGTGTTCAGTAATATTTTCCTAAAAGCATGCATTTGTTTAGCATTTCAAGTACCAATTCTTATGTTTTTTATCCAATTTGAACGCAATTTAATCCTCACTACTACCCCATTAATCTCTTCGTAGTTACCTGGGTAACACATTTTCATAGACAATTTGACTATGGCCGATTACATGATGCTTCCGCACATCGCGTTTTCCCCGCGCCACATTGGTCTGCTGTCTCCGGAACCAAAATTCCTGTTCTCCTTTAAGCTATCAATCAGCTTAAGCTTTTCTGGGCAATAGCATATTACAATGTTACAAATTCGCAGCTGCATGCTTAAGAGTGTTTGAATACATTCACACGCTAGAAAATCTACCCAAATGATTTCCTTGGCTGTCCTTCAGCTGGCAGATTACTGGAAGCTTACGAAAGAGGTGGAGTGAGTGTTTACCGCGAACCCTTATACATCTCATGGGTTCACCGAATTACCTGGGTACCAGAAAAGAAGGTATTTCACAACGCATGTTAGTGTCCAGGTCCTTCCAGCTTAATGTGTAGCAAGCTTGTTGCAAACGCGAGAGAAAAGAAGTTGCCATTATTCCAGGTTAATTGATTCTGTAGGATAATCGGAGTAATATCACACAAAGAGATCAGAATTCCTCTGATGCGAAGATTAATTATTTGACCATTTCGGAATGTGTCGTCGGCTTATGTGAAGAAGTGCAAATTTATTTCCTTGTACCCCCAGTGGGAAAGTTGAAAAATTTTCAAACGAAACATCATCAACTCTGTCCAAACAACCTAACACAAATAAAATGCTAGTAACATCAGGTCCGAATGGCGCCAAAGTTAACTTCTTGCAGGCACTGTCCTGATCTCGTAGTTCCTGGTTTCACATCTTTAAGCTCGGCATTTAATAGCGCCCATCACACTGGATTTATTGTCTAAGCCTGGTTGCACCGTTATGGACACCTCACGATGTGCGGCGAAGTTTGTATAATCAGTAATGAGTGGGATTACGTAGACTATTTTTTGAATTTAATAAGAATTATGTGACAGAATTTTTTGCGCTTTCTAACATGAAACAGAACTCACCAACTGCTATGAGGAGGGCACTAGGATATTTTTAAATATAGCTGTCAAGGAAATAATTGCGAAATTCCCCCGACCCTTCTTGGATCATTTTCTCTTTTTTGTGCTATCCACGTCTCTCCACACTTAAGTGCGATTTCCGAAGGTTTAGCTAATTGCATGGTTTTTACGTCTCGACCTGTTCCGTGCACACTATCTCAATTGATTCTCTCCACACGAGAATCTGTAAAGTCTGTATGGAGCTGCAAATTTTCAGTTCGTTTTACTTTCCCTCCTCTCTTCCAGACCCTGCTACACCTTATCTACTTGGTATTTTTACTGCAGGCACAAAGGTACACCGTCTTTTTCACGTTTCCCTTTGCTTGATTCCAAGTTCTTTCCTTTTTACGAGCTCTCAATCCTGATGGTCTCTGATGCAACTTGGAATGGTTTTACTGAGTATGCTTGTGTTAACGCACACCTTTCTAGACTTCTTTTTTATTGTTACATTTCAAAGGTGACCACCTCACGAAAGTCACTGCTAAAAGCAAAAGTGCTTCAATGAAACGGACAGGGCAACAGACCTACGCTTGCTCGTGACCACAAGAGCACTACTTAAGGGTTTCGTGAAGACACCTGTATCCAAGCTGTGCACGCCTCGTTACTTCTACAAATCCACGTGTAGCTATGGTAACAGCTATGTTGGGCGCACTACTCGTAATCTGGGTGTTCGAATCAATGAACACATTACAAAGTGGCCCCACAAACAGATAGAACATGTGACGAGTGCATGCGGTGAATTGAGAAGCAAACTTTCCTCCGCAATTACGAGGCATTTGATGAACACCGGTCACCAAGTAAGCCCGAATGAGTCATTCACAGTCCTCATGAGCAGTCAAAGGCCTCAGATACTCAAGCTACTCGAGCCCATTATTATCGATCGACAGCACCCACCACTGTGTGACATAAACAGCTGAGTGACATTAGCCTACCTTGGTAGCGTGCAACGCACCAACGGGAACACATTTGATCAACACTTGATTTCATGTTACTCGTTTTCAGTTTAGCAGATCCGCAGGCCCACCTAGTAGAAGCCGGTGTCAGCTCCAGCCTTTTACATCTTCGTATGACGAACACGTTGATGCAGCCAGGT